TCTCACTTTAAATAAAATTAATATTACTCAATTTATATGCATTTGTCAAACCTCATCTATTAGACAACTAAGTTTTGTGCATTTCACTGTATGTAAAATTTGCCTTATTAAAAAAAGAATTTAAATTCTAGTTAAAAAAAGAACATGTAATGAAGTGTTTAGGGATGAAGTATACTGGTATCTATAACTTACTTTGAAAAGCATTAAAAAATTACATTTCATGTAGGTGTAGGTGGATAGATATGTGGTAAAAAAAATAGCAAAATGTTAAATGTAAACTAGGTGGTGGGCATATGTACTATTCTCTCAACTGTTTGATAATTTTTATTTTAAAAAATGTTGAAAAAATACTCCTTAACTGCTCTGATGACCTACATCAATCAGCTCCTTACAAAAGAATATTTTGTGATCACTTATGTCATAGTCTGATAACATCAATTTATTTCACTCAAGGAAATGAATATATATTTAGAGGAATAAATGAGATAATATATAGAAAATGCTTTGTAAACTGTGAAGTGCCATATGCTATTATTAGCACTATGATGTTCAAGGCATGGTGTTCATGTAAAATGTTAATACAAAACACTATATTTGTTCTTTCAAATGTTTTCTAACTAAAGCGGAAACTCTTCTTTTTTAAATTTTATTATATTATTTATTTATTTATTTTTTTAGGCGAGGCAACCCTTGGTTGACTTTAAATTTTAGTTAGATTCATGAATAAAACAAAAAAAATGTATAAGTGGGTCTTAAAGAAAACTGGATTAAAAATAGACTTCCTTTATAAGATGAATACTAATTAAAAAAAGCAAATATCGAAAACAGCACCTTCTTTCTGTAAAATTCACATATGGACATAAAAAGCTCACATTGGCGCAATGTATTTAATTTTCAGTGAAATTCTCTAAGTATAATATCTATTACTTCCTCTGTCCCAGGCCCTTATTTATGCCATGGCCTCTTCTCTATAATTTGTAAGACAGAATAATATTCTTGATGGTAGTGATGATTTAACTCAACCTTTGAGTTAAATCTTTTAACTGCAAAAGATTTTGCTGCAAATAACTTGAGAACAAAATGATAAAAGGGAATTAATTAATTTACACAGAAAGTCCGCGAGTTAGATACTCAGAGAGGTTTTACAAAGTGAATGAAAAGCATATTATGCTTTACATATTTTTTTAATATGAAAAAACTTTGTTTTAGAGACAATTATCCAGCTGGCATTTCTTGATTGTGTGCTAAATTGTCAGATTCACTGTGATGGTACTTGAGCGGAAAACAATTTAAGGACTATTCAATCATCAAGTGACTTAGAGTTTAAAACCTTCCTCTTCCCAAATAGGAAGTCTAGAGGTTAAGATCAAATTCTGTCATGTTCCCAAACAAAATAATTAAAGGGCCATCTTTATGTTGTGATGTTTGCACATTAACAAGTCACAATACTGAAATTAAAGAGGGTAAAAGAGAGCACAAAGGTTAGCTTGTCTTTTTTAACTTACATGTTTCAATTCAGTATTCTCTGGTGATTTTCAACCCTTAAAAAAAACAAGAGAGGATCTAAATTTTCAAGAAAAGGAGTAAGGGAACATTACTATGAAAAAAATCTGTTAACCCTCTAAGAAAATACTGTGTGGAAAGTTAACCAAAATGGAAAGCCTCTTTACATCTACATAGTCTCTAAATAATTTTGTTTAGCAATAACAGAAGTTAACTTTTTTGAGAATTAAATATTTGCCAGGCACGTTACACCACTGTCTCATTTAGAAGTCCAATGCTCTATCCATTGCACCATAGAGCTACCTAAACACTGCCTCATTTAATCCTCAAGATACTACTAGGCCTTCATTCTTTCATCTATTTAGTGTCCACTTGGCTGGGCATCCCCGCTAAGCGCTGAGAATTCAGTAGTGAGCATCATTCGTCTTCTCTGTCTGAAGGAGCTTAGTTTAGTAATTATATTACCTTCTTTATAGGAGAAAATGCAGGATGGGCTCCATGAGGTTAACTTACTTGTCCAAAGTCACACAGTGTTGGAATAGCTACACAAACCAAGGCATCTCGTTTCAAATCTTTGCCCTCAATCACGAAGCTGTTAATAGACTTTTAAAGATTTTTGCTTATAGGTTATCTTTCTAATTTTTTTCAAACATATTTCTCTCGGAGGAAAAGAGCTTTATAGTTAATGACCTCTCTGCTCCCTTCTTTTTCACAGTATTGACCAAAGATCGAGTGGTGAATTTATACTTAACTGCCAGGTTTCTAGGAGACTTCAGGGGCGAGGAGCCAAGTCCCAGGGGAATGGGGAACATTTTTGAAGAAACAATAGCAACCCTGATAGAAGGCCAGACTATCATAGAGGTGACACAATGTGTTCAGGTTGGTATGGCCGTAGACAAGGTTAGACTATAAATTAAGGGGCGCAAAGCTGATGCAGTGCTCAGTGAAGCAGTTTGTTTTTTCCTCTTTTGCCCTTCTTCGCTACTTCCAAGGGTGTTTTGAAGCTGGACAGTTCACTAGCTCCAAAAGGCTGAAACCTCTAATTTTTATTCTATAGGTATAGCCCCCTACTCCTGTACGTTCTCTCCCGCGTTCTCTCTTATGAATGCTTTTCACTTCGTCTTCACCCTTGGCGGATAATCTCCATATGACCGTTTTCGTTTTACTCTATCGCCATATAGACTAGGTTGCCTTATTGCGACCTTGACAGACATGTAAGTGGGAGGTCCGGGGGATTGTGGGGGCGGTCGGTTCTGATGATAAAACCTTCAGATAGCTGTGAGGAGACGCCACGAGGAGGTGGCTACAACCGAATTCCACTCAGCGTTGAGTTTTCTAAGAGATTGACAGGAAGTGTACCAACTGTCTCTGCTCTAGCAACTGGGGCGGTCTCGCGAGATTGGGACACCTATCTAGAGGGAGGAGTTTAAAGGCGCCTCTCTGAATGGGGGATGGGAATATCTGTGGCGCAATCATTGCGCGAGATTGGGCCTTGGTCGCTGGGGCCCATACTTCTATCTCGCGATATTTCAGCCGCTCTGGTCTGGAACTAAGGGTAGCTTCTCGCGAGAGCCCGTGCTGCGGGCTCTGTGAGGCCCCGTGTGTTTGTGTGTGTGTATATGTTAGTGAATGTGAGTACGGGGAAGCAGCAGCCGCCATTTCAGGGAGTCTGCGGACGCTGTCGCAGGGTTGGATCCTGAGCTGCCGAAGCCGCTGTCCTGCACTCCCGCGCGGGCTTCTCTAATCCCATTGTTTCTTTTAGATTCGCTCGGGCCTATCCGCCCTCGGAGCCCGAAATTCGGGCTGGGTGGTACTGCGGCCCGGGCCTAGCGGCTTAACAGTAGCAACAGCGGCGGCAGCACCAGCAGCAGCAGCAGCAGCAGCCCCCCACCCTTCCCGAATACGAGCACCACAGGGGCCCGGAAGCCCGCACAGGTAAGGAAGCGTCGCGGACCTGTGTATTGTCAGCTTTTCTGAGGTTCAGTTTTGTTTTTTGGTTTGAGGGGCACTCTTTAAGCGGTCTTTAACGATGAGGGGGTGGTTTTCGAGAAATCAGCCCTATTTCGGCGACCGCGCCCTTTTCTTCCGGTCGGCTAGGTTTCAGGGTTCTTGGGTGGTATGGACCCCAGAAGAGCCTCGGGCAGATGGCGATCTGTTCCTTCGAGGCCTGGGCCGGCCGCGACCTCCCAACATGGCGCCAGCCGAACGCTGCCATGGCACACAACCCCTCCCAAACGAGGGAGTTTCCCTTACCTCTAAAATGGCAGCGCGGGTTTTGCGCGGAAAGAGGCGCGCTCGCTCCAGCCTCCCGAGTTATGTTTTTGAGTTCATCGCAAGCTTTTTAAAATCGAACATTTAATCTACTTTCGTGTGCGCGGTCTTAGAGGCATTTCAGATTTAATCGTCAAGCTTGGTGTAAAGTACGCCACTTTAGTCATTTCAGGGTTTTTGAAGGTTTTTCTGAAGTTTTGGATATTCGAGAAAAATCGGGCAGAATCGAAACATTTACTCAATAGAATTACCTCTTATTTTCATAGGCGTTTAGAGAACATGGCAGACGATATTGATATTGAAGCAATGCTTGAGGCTCCTTACAAGAAGGTGAGAAAAAACATGTCGGTGAGGTTTGTTTAATTCTTAATTTAGCATTATTCACGAAACTACTGCTGAAATGTAAACTAACCTCCCCGGAGCCCTCTTGATTTATCTTATCAGAGATGCATTACGTATAACTTACAAAAGTAAATATATGCTATTGATGTAATAATATTGTGCAGTAGTTTCACTTCAGCGTGATGAATAAATGCCCATCTATCTCTCTTTGTAGACTTGCCTAACGATATCTCACCTCTACTCCCATGAATTCACCTTTGATTCCAGTGTGAACTGTCAATCATAAGGTAGTAATTGAGTGACTTATCGCTGTACCGTGGTCCCCTAGGTAAAATGACTCAACTAAGAATTACCAGCTCCAGTTTGGTATAGCAAAAAGGTGAATGTAGTGGTTTGGGAAAATAGCAGGGGTCCAAGAATAACAAAGCATAACCAGTCTGTGGCAAGCAAATCTTTAAATAAAAGTCTTACAAGAAGAAATGGGTGAGATTTAAAATTTTTTCTATGTATTAAAGACTGGTGATAGTAAAATATTAAAACAGGCAGGTGAAGATCTGCTGTTCAGTTAAAAATTACTAAAATTCTTGGATCCCTGAAGAGAAAAAAATTTAAACAAAAAAGGCAGTATCACAACTTATAGTCACTTGATGACTGTTTTACTGTTCTCCATATTGTTTTATTTTTAATTAGTCCCTGCCATATTTCACACTAGAAACTACAAAGGAATTATTTTAGCTAATATAGCCTTTGACCCATTTCAGTATCACAGTAAAAGTAAAGTGTCTTTTCATTCTTTCACCAGTTGGTGGTGAAAATAGCAGTATGCATGCATTATCACTGGTGTCACAAACTAAGCTTTGTAAGTTAGCAGTTATACTCCTGTAACTGATGTGATCAACTTTAATAAACATTGCGCTAAACCTTTTAAAAATAATTCATTTATTTTGGAGTGTATAGCACGACCATGTGGTACCAATTTGGATGAATTCTTTGTAGCTTTAAATAGTGTACATAGTTTTTTAATGCTTAGACTCTTGAAGAGCTACTTTCTATTTTAATGTTAAGATTCTTGTGTCTTAGTTTAACGTGGATGTAATTCCATGTAAACAGGTATGGAAGTAGGAAATGTTTAGGCTGGACTGGTGGATTATTAATTGACTTTCTTGGGTTCTTGGGAGTCAACATTACTAAAGCAGTGTGAATCCCTGTTTGCTTCAGGGCGAGATGTGTGACAGAGGTGGCATCAAGCTCTTACAGTCCCAACCCTCCAACGGAAATGGGCGAAGATCTCAGGAATGGCATCGGTCACAGGAAATCGATAGTGGCTGGCTGCTAGCATGGCCACTTGGGGCTTAGGCAGAAATAGAGCCATGGTACTGACCAAAGGGACCATAGCACATGGAATAAAACTCAAAACAGGACTTCATTCATGTTTTAAAGAAATTCTATTTAACCACTTCAACACTAAATCTGGAATACTTAATATCTATATAAGAAAGTAAAATTTAACATGTTAATATGTATTTTTATTTTTGTATTTTGATGACTTAATTGTAAGCAACAAAGTGGTTAAACAACACATATCCATCTAAATTTTTTTATAGCCTTCCATGTTAAACTATAAATAAGTAATTAGTTTTAAAATTGTTTTGTATTTTCTTATTCCTGTTCCCTTTACCCTTTGACAACTTGAAATGTTACCACTTCGTCCTCATGATGTTCTTCTATCAACCCTGCTTAGGATGAGAACAAGTTGAGCAGTGCTAATGGCCATGAAGAACGTAGCAAAAAGTAAGTTTTAAGAAGGGACCTGGGGTGGGGGGAACTTTATGTGATTGGTACCTTTTAAAGTTGTGTTCCTGTGGCTAAAACATCAAACTAAGGTGCTCTTCTTACTTTTCTTTGCCTCTTTTAGAAAAATAGTTCTTTACCTTTTGCTAGATTTCAGGATATGGTTTCAGGGACCTTTTGGACACCTTCCCCTCCAAGTCCATAACAATCTGGATAAGAATTCCTGTGTTAGAGCTTGTCTTTTGTCTTAAGTTTATTAACTTAGGTATAATGTTGAGTTAAGTGATTTTAGCAATTAAACTATCATATCTACTGAAGATGGCTTAGGAAGGAGAAAAGGTAGTGAATAATTAGGCAGTGGAAAGTATTGTTCCAAATCACTGAGTCAGAGCTGTGAATTATTGAAGCTCCTTGCTGCTTAAAGACCCTTATTGTTGTAATGCTATGGTATACTTAAGTACTACTTGTGTTCCTCTTCTTGGCTTTTGTTGTCTTAAGCTTTTTAAACTCTAATGGACTTAATAATGAGAATGGAATTTTTGAAAATAAAGTAACGGAGTTATTTGAAATGAGTAAACCAAAATAGGAACTTAGTGTTACAGACTTGTGTATTGAATATAGTATGCAAAAATCTAAAGGAAAAGTATGAATCAAATCTACTTTATAAGATTGGATCCTATTTTTGGAGTTTGAGCTCTAAAGTTAGTGATTCTTAATATCAAATAGTCATGTTGCAAACAATAAGTTGTTTTATTAGTATATATTTTTGATGTCATAGTAAAACATTTTCTCATGTTTGTGACCCTGTAATTCATATCGAAAAATGGTGGTAAAATAGCCATTTAACTTGGTTCTTTTTGGCTGTTTTCCTTCTGAGAGTTCACGGTGCTTCGTAGTATATTACTTCAGCATCTTCACAACTTTGTTAGGTAGGTAGATAATTTGTAAAAAGATGAGAAAATTGTCAGATTGAATTGTTTAGGCTTTGGTACACCAACATTTTTTATTGTAATTCCCCTAAAATAATATAGTAGTGGATTAAAAATGATAATTTGTAGGAAATGTCCTACATTTTTTCTGATACAAGCTTGGGTGGGAATCTGTTAACAGTTCCTCACTCATCCCAACAGGTTATGCTTTTAGTCTTCTGGTGCGAGGCAATCAACCAGTCATTGCATGGTTTAATGTTACCTGGTTTTAGACATTTACCATGGTAACTGTTTCCTAATTAATGGTTCTAATTTTCGATTCTGTAATCCAAAGAAAACCTAGGAAGGGGTATTCATATAAAATGACTGAAATGGTCTAATGTAGGTATGAGGGCTAGAGGATGAGAAAGATCTCAGCCTAAGTGCCAAAAGGATAGTGACACACTTTTGGGCACAGACCTTTTTGGTACCATTCTCAGATGTCACTCCTTGCTACTAATACCATCTCCAGTTTATACTTGTTTTCATCTTGCATCTAAGCTCATTAAAGGCTGCCAAGCTTTCACAACGAAATCTAGCATCCAGTTCTCAATGACTGATGCTCAGTGGCCTTTGTTTATCTAATGTAGGGTCTTAATGGGGCTAAATAGAACAGACAGTTTTGTTTAATTGATCATAGGGTCCTTTGTTTAAGGGAAGAACTTTTCTTGGAAACATTCCCAGTTACTACCTAGTATCTTTTAAAATGTACAAATTATTTTTCTATCAGACACTTCACCCTCAATTATAGCTGATTAAACAAATGGCTCCCTTGTTGAATTGGGAACTTTTCACCTACTTTTCTGAAGGAAATTATTCTTTCAATTCCAAACTTAATCTAGAAGAAAATTTTGTTGTTTAAGGATAAATACAATATAAAACAAGTAAAGTGTTCTGTGCTTTAGTTTTTAGTATGAATTCTCTTAACCAAAGGAAAGTCTCATGTTGCATTTTTCTTATTAAAACTTCATTGTCTTAAAAGCCATTGAGTGTTGGGATGTAGTTTTAAGGTCATAAGAAAATTTATATTCTGAGGAACTGAGAGTGACTAGTAAATGTTTTCTTTCCCTTAAAGTAGTAATTCTGATTCTCTCAATACATCTACTCAATTGTATTCTGCTAGTGAAAGGAATTAAGTTTAAGATAACACAAATTGGTTACCAATTAGTCTACTTTCAAAAGAATAATATAACCCTGAGTTTGGCAAGACATCTAAGTGTATGCCTTTTAAGTACCTGAGCTTGCCTTTTTGGGAATGTTATTTGTTAGTGTAACCAGTTTTGCAAAATCTAAACCAGCATCCATTCAGTTAAGCTCTTATTACTCAAAAAAGAATAACAATAAAATGACACAGTTGAAATATATTGGCTACTGTGGTGTGGATTATCTATAAATTTTGGAATAAATGACTTTTCTATTTTTTTTCTTATTTTCCAGAGTACTTTGCATTTAAAATTTAGATCTTCTTACATGGAAGAGGTCAAATCCAGTTATAGCAAAACACCTTTACAGCCGAGGCCATATAACCAAAAAGTCCAAAGGCCCAGCCCAGTGGACCATTTACTTCAATGATGTTCAGTACAAAATTCCACAGTACAAAAAGACTTTGGAAAAGTCCCTTTTAAGTTGTAACAGGATTTGACTATTTTAGTATGGATTTTGATAACCCTTACTTAGATAATTTAATGTTCTTTGAAGCTGTAATTTGTTAGAGAAGTATACTGCTTTCTTGCACCCTTAAATTTTTGTCTGAGCTTTTATGCAGAGGATTGTATATTCTGAATGTTTTAGTATGTTGCTGTCTTTTTACCTGTCTGGGGTTGCCTTCAGATGTGGGTGGGGACCTCAAGTTGTAATTAGCTCTCCAATTTTTGAGTCCTTTCCTTTGGTGAAATAAGTTTTGGGCCTAAAAAGAGGTAAATAGGGAGGTTGGCTACCTCTCTGCTATGGGCCATCTATGAGCAGAACAAAACTTTGTCTTTTTTGTGGGAGATGGAGTTACTTTTTCACTTTTCCCCTGATTAGGACTTTCGATTATAGATATCACACTGAATTCTTTAGTCTAAGATAACTGTCAGGTTTTGCAGGCAACAATGTTGGAATGTTATCTGTTGCCCTTCTGGGCATTGCTTTGATGACTTCTATATAAATAATGAGTGTAGCCTAATTTTCTGTCATGTGCTACCTAGCATATACATTTCTGACAGTCAGGTGGATTATCTTGAAATTTTAGACAAAGTTTCTGCCTCCTTGGAAAGCTCTACATCTCCTTGTGATTGGAGTGTGGGTTTCAAGATTCCAGAAGGTGGGTGTCTTCATTTTCTATTTTCAATGCACTCTAAGATGACCTGCTTACAGGTTCTCTGAGGCAGACTTCAGTTGCTCTTGTGCTAACTTTGCTTTGATAAGGACTAAACAGTTAATTAAGTATCCAAATGATGTAGAGTTGTCAAATGTTAATAATCTTTTAGCCACTACAGATTGACATTTTAGTGGAATAAGTTTATTTTGAAATGTCTTTCAATTTATATTGAAATATCTGAAGGCACCTCTAAATTTTGGGTGATGACGCAGAGGTATAGATTGTAAGATTTAATTATGAAATGAATGAGTTGCATACTGTGAAGAATATAGAAATGAACAGAAAATATGACTGACTGGCTTTTTTACCTTTCAGAGTTTGAGGTTTTATAAAGATTTATATAGATGTTGATTCTTGTTTTTGATTCCACCCACAGGTTTATATAAACCATATAAAATGGCATACTCCATTTTCTGGTGTGCTCCTTAAATAGAAAGTAACTGAAAGGGTCACAGTAAAGTCTGGGAGTGTCAGAATGCATTTTGCTGCATTAGTTTACTGTCTTTTGCCATTCATTACTTGTAGTTTTGCCCGTGAAAACTAAAATAATGATGTTTGTATGGCCCGTTGAAAGTATATTTATTTACATGTATAAATTGGGTCAAAATTAGTTGAAGGGAAGTAAGTGTATTTAATGAAAGTATGTATAATCCAGCACTAATACCACAAATGCTAACATTGTTATAACTTTGATTTTATTACTGTTTCGTGGATTACGATGATACTTGTTGGCCAGTTGTATGATGACCAAACTTTATTTAAAAGTTCAAGTTTTGATCAGTACCTACCAACAAGTCCTTTCTTCGTTAAAACTGTAGCTGACTCCCAGGAGATTGGTCCCTGCTCTCTCAAATAATTCTTTGTAAGCGGACTGCTGATTTTCAGTAGTAGAAGGCAAAGATTGGGTGTTATTTACCTTACCTAAGAATTGTCCATAAGTAAGATTATGTACAATTGTAAGATAGTAAAAATAGCAAAGTAAATTTACAAAAAAATAAAATTTCTGACCATAAAAGGAAGTGTATTTTGGCAGATTCTTAAAAACCAGCAAGATAATGGTGATTTCTTTTTTCTTCTCAGGAGGAAAAAAAGCAAGAGCAGAAGTCGTAGTCATGAACGAAAAAGAAGCAAAAGTAAGGAACGGAAGCGAAGCAGGGATAGAGAAAGGAAAAAGAGCAAAAGTCGTGAAAGGAAGCGAAGTAGAAGCAAAGAAAGGAGACGGAGCCGCTCAAGAAGTCGAGATCGCAGATTCAGAGGCCGCTACAGAAGTCCTTAGTACGTAACTATAATTGTGATTTGGTTTGAGGGTCATTTCTTTGAATATCCAGAAAGGAATTTAACCCGAGTGATTCGAATGGTGAAATTCTGTTTTTTAATGTGATTACTTAAAGATGTTAGGGATATTGGCATTGAAAAGACTAGTAAAGTGGAAAACTGTGTGGACAAATAAAATACTAGGCATACAGATAACTTTATTCTAAAAATTTTGTATGCCAGTCTAAACTGTATTTATATTGAAGCACTAGAGTGCTTTAAAAAAAAAAAAAACTTGCTATGTAGTGCCAAATACTTGGAAAGGTTGAAGGTATATCAATTAATACTTACTGAATATAAATTTATTTAAAATTTTAAAGCTCAGACAGAACTTAAAAATAAGTAGAATTAGCCAAATACGTAATTAGTTAACAGTCTTATTTGTGGCCATTTTCAGCTGAAGTGACAGACCCTTTATGAATTTGGTATGTGCTCCTGGATAATGATCATTTTGAGGGCTCATACATTGTTTGTATTTAAGGATTCTTAATAAAGCACTAAATAAATGTGCTTTGAAAGTTAAATCACTATGGAAAGTTGGATGTGGTGGTTTTCAGTTGGAAATGTTTCTTTATAGTCATTAAAATCTTCAATTATGTTAGTAATTGGTGAGACTACCTAGAATTTTTATGGATTGAATGTAGTAGTCCTTAGAGCTTTATGATATTCTTTTCTCTTAATATATTATTGTTAACTAAGAGGTATATTATAATTAACATGTCTCACTTTAAAACTTGAATGGTTCAAGATGGGATTCAAAGACAAATGGCTAAATCAGAGAGAGCCTTGGCTCTTTTCACTTGGGCAAGTTAACCTTACAGTTTAGTTTTTTCAACTTTTAAGGAAGTGGTAACAATTGACAGATAAAACTTAATGAGCATTGAATGAGAAGATAATGTAAATAAAACACCTAACATACTTACTGTTATTCGTGAAATATTTTGGTATTTGAAACCACTAAAGTTTAGTATCACTTTGAGTTGATTCTGGTTTTTAAATCTTTAAAGTGAAAAGAATTCAACTCCCTTTTTTCTATTTTCCTCCTAGCTGCTTATTTCATAAACTTTTTAAGAGCTTAAAGGGACCACAATGTTCTTTTAATTCTGAATGCTGTCAGAAAATACTTTGTCCTTTTTATCAAAATTTACTGCATCTTTTTTTACCTGAATGAAATAAATAGGAGAAAAGTTTACCTTAATTCTGAATACTATTTTCTCTGTTGAATGAGGAATACCTGACGTCAACCTGTGATCTCATCTGATTAATAATGATTTAGTTCTTACATTTGGTTTCAGGTGATTTTTAACTATGAAGGCAGAAACTGTGTCTTTAATAATTAAAGGGGAGGGAAAGGAATTATTTATATATTCTTATGTGAACTTTAATTTATCCAGTAAATGTACATCCTTAATTATCACTTAGTTTAAATTGCAAAGGACACACTTAATACAAAACAATTTATTTGGAACTGTTTGGATGTTGTAGGTACATGTAGAGTTCATGAACGTGAGTCCAAATGTGAGTCACAGACTACATTTGGATAGATAATTATTTCATTTTGCTACTGGAAAAAGGATAACAGTATGAGCACTAACGGACATAGGACTGTCCTATGTTATTTTGGTCTTTTAAAATAAAAGGCTCTAAAACTGTTGGGCCTTGGAAGAATTTTTTAGACTATGGAATAAAACTTTTAGAGTAGTTGACTTTTTGGTCTTCTTTGAAAACACTTCAGTATGTCAGGTCATCAAACAATTTTTGAACAATTGATGAACTTCTTTACATCTTACTGTGTAATATTTTGTTATAAGAAAATGAAGTATGATGTGATAAAGGTAATTACTGAGACTTGTTAAACAGAAAAGTTGGAGATTCATGATTATGTAAATAATTAGTCCTTATTTTTTAAAAGAAGTCCTTCAAACAAGAAGATACGTACTTTGTATAGGTACACATGTGTAAATGTGTTCCTGAGAAAGGGTGTGTGAAGATGCATACCAAATTGTTAACCATAGTTAACTGCCAGTGTGAAAGAAGTTCAGAGTGATTTATTTTCACTTTTTGAACCTCAGGAATGTATTCATGAATGTGTAATTTTTTTAAAACTATGGACTAAATAAGTGAGCATTTTTAGAATTTAAAAAAATTCGAGGCTGTATAAATAACCTTTGGTCTTGGCACCTCTCAGTGGTCCAGTATGGATAATTCTAAGAGCAGTTTTGCCTGGGATAGAATTAAGAGAATATATCTGTTTCCTCTTCATAATTGAGGTGGAAAAGAAGCAGCCTAAACAATGTTAAACTTGCTGGAGAGCACATGAACGTGATCTTAGCAAGACCCTAAACCTGTAACTAGTGTAATTTTGTGTTTCCTTTTTAGCTCCGGACCAAAATTTAACAGTGCCATCCGAGGAAAGATTGGGTTGCCTCATAGCATCAAATTAAGGTTTTTAAACATACTTCTGAATTGTTTAAATTGTTTTTCAAGGAACTAATGTGATGTACTTGTGTGGGTAACTTCTGAAACTTTTTAACTTTGCAGCAGACGACGCTCCCGAAGCAAAAGTCCATTCAGAAAAGACAAGAGTCCTGTGAGGTAGCTGTTGTCCCTGTTTTTTTCTTTAGAGCTTTTAGCATTTATAAAGCTTTTGCAGTTTATGCTACTGCTGTTTAATTACATCAGTTAATTTGGACTATATTGAACCAACCTTCCTTTTGTGTAGTACTAGTGTACTGTTAAGTCAATGTGTATTTCTAAATTTTCAGCTTTCATGTAACAAAGTGGAGCAATAATTACCATTTCAGTACATATTTCTCTTATATAAACTACATTTTTTAAATGGTAGCTATAGAAATTTTTTAAATAGACTTCACTCAGTGACTTTTGGAATTAGTAAATTTGAGTTATTGAAATGGCCTCATGTGATAAAGTAGTAATAACAATCCTGAGTTATCTCATTTTGCTCTTTCCTGAGAAAAAGTATTAAATTTCTAAAGTCTTAACCCAATTGACTGGATTTTAAGTGGTACTTTTTCTTTAGTGTTTGAATTGTTTTCCTCTTAAATAAACATAAGACTTATTTTGGTCAAGCAACATTTGTTAGCATTGATCTTTACTTAGATTCTGGGTTCCCTTAAAGGGCACTTTTAACTTAGAGTCTGTCCTGTTCTTTGGTATATTCTGATTATTCTAGGATTTGGTAAAAACCTTAATGATTTTAAAAACTCTCCTTGTAACATATTGAGGTTTTTACTCTTTAATATTTAGCTTTAATATTTAGTTTTCTTTCATAAGAAAATCTCCTTTTAATTCTCATTCTCTGGATCTGGTCCAGCTTTGTACATCTGTTTTACAGTAGTATGTTGAAAATCACTGGCTCATTTCTTAAGGGGATATACTATAGTATTATAGATGATTTCAAAAATACTTCCCGAGAATGTCCAGAACATGGATAAGAGCATGCTTATGCTTATATCTTCAAAGATTCACTTAGAACCTTAAGCTTAGTGATACTTTGAAATAATGTTAATAGACATGTTTATTTTCCTTGAAATTTTTGTAGTTAAATTTCATCTATTGTGCTTTTGTACTTTTCTCCCTTTCTTAAGGGCACTTTAGTTCCCTCTATAAATTTAGGAGGAAATACTAGGTTATTTTTAATAATGAATAAGTTGAATCCCTTATTGATATTTGTCTAGATAATTTCTTTTCAGTTTTGATTTGCTTGTGGTTACTGTCTTCTATATCCATTAAGAAACATTTCTTTGATTACTAATTTACAGTTTTAGTAAAAACTGTTCTAATAGCCAGCTTACTGTTTCATATATATCCATCTCAATTTGATAAAGAAAGCTTAAATTTGGTGTTTTACCATTTCTGATTATCAAACTAATTTCACTTTATGGTTTTATGGTTTTGTTGTGGGAAAAAATCCTTTCTACTAAATTCGTACCAGTTTGATTTGTAGCTATTTAGGTTATTTCTTCTTACTGTTCAACTCTCAGGCTTCTAATTGGCCCTTTATTATCCTGGAGAAATTACTGTTTTTAAGATTGAGAGGCCACTGGACTTTTGTCCTAATACCATCTAAAATATCAGAAGAAACATTTAGTAAACTGTCATCCTGTTCAAGGAATTGAGTCACATTAAAGTCATTGACATTTTGCATAAATCTGGTTTGGGAATAGTGACAAACTAGTTTCAGTAAACTTTGTTTACTGAAAGTGTACTTTAAAAAGAATAAGTTATAAGGTTTATATTTTTTTTTACTCCTGTTAGGGAACCAATTGATAATCTAACTCCTGAGGAAAGAGATGCAAGGACAGTTTTCTGCATGCAGCTGGCAGCAAGAATTCGGCCAAGGGATTTGGAAGAGTTTTTCTCTACAGTTGGGAAGGTAATCTTAGTCTATTTAGAGAGCTCAAATAAATGGAAATTGCAAGCAATATTTTAATAATAGTACAGCAGGTAAAATAAGACATCTGAACACCAAACCTCTTGATTTGGTAGAATTTAGGGCATTTATTTTTGGTAACATTTCTATTTTGCCTCACATGGAAGTTAATTTTGTTGGAGTTGATAAATTTTACCATCTATTTATCAAAAGATAGAAATGTGGGCTTAAAAATTTACTTATTTTTAAAAAATTGTAATGGCTTCTACCTTTGCCGCATCATTAATATGCTTCTTGTCTCTTTTTGAAAATATAATGGTTTATGCTGATGGTTGCATAAACAATCTTGTGTTAAGTTTGTGTTTTCTTTTTAGGTTCGAGATGTAAGGATGATATCTGATAGAAATTCAAGACGTTCCAAGGGCATTGCTTATGTGGAGTTTGTCGATGTTAGCTCAGTGCCTCTAGCAATAGGATTAACTGGCCAACGTGTTTTAGGAGTGCCAATCATAGTACAGGCGTCACAGGTAATTTTTCTTAAGAATTCAATCATTAACAGTACTGGAAACTTGCTGTTGCTTAGTGTTGTGCTGTACAATGCCTTGTGCTTTACATAATCATCACTTACTAAGGACCTTAAGTCAGATGTTTTCAGGATAGGTTTCTTTTTAATTTGAATGCTTTGATACTGTATTTTCAATCTTATCCTTTTCCATTTTAGTATAAGTTGTAAATAACTTTCATGAAAAAGAACTTGAGAACTTAATCTAGAATTTTATTGATTTGTGATTTGTTAGAGATAGAAGCGTCTAAGAACATGTTTTCCCTTTCCAGTCTTTCAAATGGAACGATTTTGTCATTTTTAATAAATTTTTACACGGGATTTTATGAGTAGTTTAAACAGCTATTCTAACATTTCTTGAAAATAAGATATTTCTAAGGCGAACAGTGTAAATATATATATACCTTACAGTTAAACTATAGCTGAAACTTACTGGATTTCATTAACCAGTGTCACTATTTAAAAAATGAATTAATTAAAAAAAGATTTGAAGCTAGTTTTGAGAATATTTTAAGATAAATCAAATTGTGATTTAATTCTTTGCTGATTACAGAATTGACATTAATATTTTAGTTCACTTAGATGTGAAAAAATGGGGAGGATGTATCAATGTATTGAGTATATAATTTGAAAGTATATATTCTTATAATTCATCATCAATACCTGAATAGTCATATTGGTTCCTTTTGAACCTGCTGAAATAAACACTCCATAACTTACCAAATAATCTGGTTACTTCATGAAACTTAATGTAACATTATAGAGTTATGCATAAGTTTTGTAACCAGATCGGACTTGAAATTCTGTTTTCACTGCTAACATTTATGGAATCATGATCAAATTACTTACTAGCTCTATCACCTCTAAACGGTGATCAGAGGTCCTATTTAATATTTTAGGAGTACTTAATATTGGGTATTTGTCACTTTATTTAATGTAAATTATAGGAAAATAATTGTTAGGAAATGGGGAAAAATCATTACTCAGTTCACTTTTTTGTGATGGAGGACAAGCCTAATAGTGTGTAGATTGACCTGACAAAGGGCTGAGAAGCATCAAATGAATGAGGTTTTGAATTCATGTAACTTTAACCTCTTGAACTGCACTACTCAAGGTATGCAAGTCTGTTACAAGAAAAGGAATTTGAATTAGAATGTGAATTGAGAACTATTGATTTTGATAACTTGATTTAGGAAAATTACAGCTGAACCGAAGGTTTTATTTGGTTTATATTGCCATAAACCCCTTAATGATAGTCATTGGTGTACTTTACTTTGAGTAACAGTGATCTTGAGTACATTTTAATGAATATTGGATGTATTTAACAATTCCAAGAAACAGTCTTATTTTCTACATTAGCATGTCTGATATGCATCAAATGGCGTACTGTAGTTTTATGATTTCATTTTATATATGAAATGCAGTGTCTGCTCTTTATGGCTTGTGCATGCTCTTAAAATTTTTTAAAATTCTTATTGTAAAACAATTTTTATTTAGAAATTTGACAATTTAACTAAGTGTATAATTTAGTGCCATTAATCATGGTTACATGTAAGTGGAATTTTACAATATTTGTCCTTTTGTGGATGACTGTTAAACTTAGCATAATTTCGTCACTAGCTTTTGACATCAGTTCTTAGCAAACCTAAGGTGTGACTGGGATTTACTACTCTGTTTAAATGATTTGTATTATTGCTGTGTGATGTGCATTTTGTTTCACGTAGGCGGAAAAAAACAGAGCTGCAGCAATGGCAAACAATCTACAAAAGGGAAGTGCTGGACCTATGAGGCTTTATGTGGGCTCCTTACACTTTAACATAACTGAGGATATGCTTCGGGGGATCTTTGAACCTTTTGGCAGGGTAAGTCTCAATTTATTCAATAGATCCCTAATAGTTATTAAACCAATAAAACTGCATAATAATTTTTTCATATCGTTTTGTCATGTTTCTGTAAGATTAGGATGGAGAAGGGTGGTTCTGTAAGGTTTTTGTGACAGATTGATAGTTTCCCTAAAAGAAAATGTCATTTGAAGATAGACTATTAACATGTTTTTATTTGTAATGCTGCAGTGAAATGCATAATGAATGTTAGAATCATTTTTTAAAAATCAACGTGAATGATAAAAATGTACAGTGTGTTTGGAGCAAGAGAATTTTTTGTCCTTCTGGTTGTTTTTTTTGTTTTTTTGTTTGTTTTGTTTTTTTTGATGCTTTATGCTTCCTGAAAATTTAGGGATATGTAGAGAAGCTTCTCTAATAAATTAAGGAGTAATTAGTTAGACTGTTCATTTTTATCCAGTTGGTCTTCACTTTATACATTTTATTTTAAAATAAATGTTAATAGACTGTGCTCTGGTTTAAAAGGTTCATTGGCCATGAATAAAAATCTTGGTTCCTGCTGTATCTTATTCACTACTAAAGTTCATTGCCCTTGGATATACTTTTTATTGCTTTTTTTCCACTTCTTTCACTTTTATTTGCTTTCTTTCACTTTGTTAGAGTATGTTGTCAATATTGTTAAGTGTTAGAGTGTTGACTGTAGGTGTTTATTGGAAATAATACACATACTAACGGTACACAGGTCATCATTGTGTGGGTTGGTCAGTCATTACAAAATGAATATACTCCGGAAACCACCAGAATATGAAGAAATATGATATTTGGGTGCTGTATTTTAATTTTTCATGCTTTCTATGTATGGACAGCTTTATTGGGTTAGTGTGATGTGATTCACAAACCATACAATTCACCCAGTTTAAAGTGAATAGATGATTGCTTTTTAAACGTACAGAGTTGTGTAATCAGCGACATCCAGTCTTGTTTTTAAATATTCCATTGTTCGGGGCAATTTGTCATGTCTGGTATTGAAATAATTTTTGGTGTTTTTAGCATAATGAAAGCAAAGATACTGATTTCATTTCTTACTCCAGATTGTATTTTACAAAGGACTATCGGTTTTTGTGATTTGCTTTTGAGGCAAAAACTAAGATGGTTGACTGTTTCCAGCTCCCTACTGCACTTTTTGTTTGGAAAGTTTCTAGGCCGTAAAATGATTTTGGGAGTATGAGTGGTTGTATGTTTTCAATTATTATTTAGGGAGAGGAGATTTTTCCATCATATTTCCAAGAATAAAATTTTTCCTTATTCTTTTCACTTACATGACAGTGTTTTTTATTTTTAGATTGAAAGTATCCAGCTCATGATGGATAGTGAAACAGGTCGATCTAAGGGATATGGATTTATTACGGTAAGTAATTATTATGATTAACTTTATGACTTAGAAGTTTTTTATCTGAGTAACATAGTAAAATTTCATTAGTTCTTGATGGTGGGGAAAGGCATTAATATTTAAATTAGCTTGCCATTAATAACTACTTAGTATAGTCGTACATGTGTCCCCCAGATGTGAAAATTTAACTAGTTTACCATTATCCTGTATGTGGTCAATTTCTTAGCCAACTATTCATGTAATTGAAGTCTGGCTCCTTTATATGACTTCAGTTGAAGATCTCTTGCAATTCCGTTTTTACTTAAAATTCTCTTTATATGTATGTACCTTGCCACAATGATCAGGAATGCTTACTTAAAAGTGTTTCTGGCTAATCATTGCAGACAAGTCCCTGATAAGGGTATGAGGTGGCAGCTGGATAAATTATGAACGGAAGTGTCCTTTTTAACAGTAAACGTTTTTCTCTGTTACTTCATGGTGCAATCCAGTTACATAGCAATTTTCCAAATGTATGATCTTAATAACCTTGGAAGATCCTGGAACATTTTTACTTTAAAATTCAAATAGGTCCCGATTTTAATCAAATTACAATGCTCTCATATCCAAATTTTCATAAAGTGTAAACGTGTTCTGTAGTGTTAGAGAATATATTTTTTGGTCATATAGGGATTTTTATGTACCTAATATGTGCTAGTGAAGGGGAAAACTTATAAAACTTAACTCACCAACATTTTATTTTGTTTCTGATAACAGTATGGTTATCTTCCTATAAAAAGATGTGTGGGATTTTTTAAAAGGGGATTTTTACATGTAAGTAATATTAAGTTGAGGTTTGCAGACTAATTACTAAAAGTATTTAGTGTTTTATATGTGGTTTAGTGCTTAAATATTTGGTCATTATAATACTATTAAACATCACATAAACAGTGAAGGCATATTTTTCAGAGCGTTTTGTTTCAATTCTTTAGTATTCACTAAGTATTAACTATTTACTGTGATTTAGTTATCTCTATACAAAGCTAGATTATATAAATTTACGTGATGCTGTGTGTAAATGTTTCCTGTTTTATAAGTAATTGTTCGATTTTAGTAACAAATTTTATATTTTTTAACACTGAACATTCTGTTGAAAGATTAATCGATGGGAATAGGTTTCTTCTGTTAAAACCAGAGTATGTGAATTAGAGTTTGATTTTATCTGCATCTTGGAACTAAGAATTTTCGCAATTTCATTGGCAAGAAAACATGGTCCAGAATTTTGTATTATAAATAACATCTGGTCTATGGTCATGCCACCCTAAATGTGCCCGATCTTGTCTGATCTCGGAAGCTAAGCAGGGTTGGGCCTGGTTAGTACTTTAATGGGAGACCACCTAGGAATACCAAGTGCTATAGGCATTAAAAACAATAATAGTAAAAATTAAAATAAAAATAACATCTGAATAAACTTTGAATTTTTTTCTGAATAGTTAACATTTATGAGGGGAAAAGCACTACTTTATCTCAGCACGTTGAAAGTTTTGATGTTTGAAAAATTTTCATGTTTTGTTGCTAAGATTCCTTATTTTTAATGATAGATGTTATTACTTGCTTAGCATCTTTTCATTTTAAACTATATCAGTAACTATTTGCATAGACTTAATGGTCTGGCCAGGTTGATTATATTACATATAGCTTGAAAT